TCCCTGGCGCACGTGCGCGCGGACCCGCCACCCGGGACTCGGAGCGCGACCACCCGCCCCCTCTCGGGGCTCTCATCCCGCCGCACCTTGGAATTACCGGAGAAACTTCAAAACCTGGATGTCCGGCCCACTCAGCCTTACTAAAGGGCAATTTCTGGGAGTGGTTGGCCCCAGTGTTTTCCAAAGCTCTCCGGATGATTCCAGGTGCAGCCAGGGCCGAGACCTCACCACCGGTCGTGGACGGTGACAGACGTAGGCTCATTTCTTCCCGACCCGATCCCGGTACCGCGCGCGGTTGTGCACGTCCTGAGCTGACCCCCAAGGACCTGTGCGAGGCCCCCACTAAGCTTTTGCCTGCTTCCTGGGCCCCTGTCAGTTCGTGCAGCAGGTGTGGGTCCTCAGCCAGGCCCCTGTGTGTGGGTCCTAGACTTTTGTTATGTTCTCCAGGTTGGCTGCAGCGCTGGGATTCATTCATTTGCACTTTACGTATTTATTGAGCACCCACCATGTGCCGGGAACTGTGCTAGGTGCTGGGGAGACAGCAGTGAAATAGACAGGTGAGGTCTTACCACATGAAAATTAAGTTTCCATTTTAGTTCAGGACACAGTAAGCAGGTAGGCATACATAAGACAGTCTAGGTAAGTGTGATTGACCCTTGAACAACTTGGGGGTCAGGGACACCAACGCCCACCCCCAGCAGTCGAAAATCCACATATAACTTTTGATACCCCACCCCACCTGGAAAAAATAACCTGTTGATTGGGAGCCTTACTGATAACATAGTCAATTAACATTTATTTTGTATAGTATATGTAACACACACTGTATTCTTACAATAAAGTAAGCTAGAAAATAAAATATTAAGAAAATCATAAGGAAGAGAAAATACATTTATAGTACTGTACATATTTATTGAAAAAAATCTGTGTATAAGTGTACCCACACAGTTCAGACCTGTGTTGTTCAAGGGTCCACTGTACTGTGATGGATATAAAATATAGTAGCATGATAAAGGGGTAATATTAGTTATGATAGATAAGGCCATACTGAGGAGGTGACACATAGATGATACCTAATGCACATTTGGTGGGAAGAACATTTCTGACAGTGCAAAGATCCTGAGGCAGGAAGCAGATTGACATGTTAGAGGACATAGAGAAAGCCATAGTGGCTGGAGGGTAGTGAATGAAATGGAGTTTGCTAAGAACTGAGGTCAGAGGAGCCAGGCATGGTAGGGTCTTATAGGCTCTGGTTGAGTTGGATTTTATCATAAGGCCAGTGAAAAGCCATTTGGGGGGGGGGGGAATTAGTCAAGAAATTGATGTGACCTAATTTACTTAAAAAAAAAAAATACTACTCTGGTTGTATGTGGTGAATGGGTTACAGGGGACAAGAATAAAATGAGACAAGCAAAGGCCACCATGGTAGCCCAGGCAAGAAAAGGTGGTGGCTTGGATGAGGGTGGCAGCACAGGGGATGGGAGGGGATGGGTCCGGTTGCAATGTAAAGGGTGCATCAGCAGGACTTGCTGATGTACTGGACATGGGATAAAGGGAAAGAAGAACCAAGGATAACACCTAGATTTTTTTGGCCTGAGCACTGGGTGGAAGGTGGTAGGTACCATCTACTGAGATGGGAAGGGTGGGGTGTGAAAAAAAAATCTTGAGTTTGGTATTGGACATGTTAAACTTGAGCTGCTGAGTGGACTTACTTCCAAGTGGAAATGTCAAGTAGGCAGTGGGACATTTGAGCCTGGGGCTGAGGCAGAGGTCAGAGATATGAAATGTGATATATGTACACACAACCTGAAGAAATGACTTTTGCAAAATTTAGCCATGACCTATCAAAGCAGGAATTTGTTTTTTTGCAACTTAGCCCAATACAGAGCCAAGCTAGCCCACCTACTGGAGCAAGAACATGCCCAGTGGCATCACTGAAACTTGTCATTGAGTGGATGGTGGCCATGGGCGGAGTGGAGTGTCTGGCTCAGAGCTTGTTTGGGGAGGGGGGCACACTACACTGAGGGCCCTCACACCTCTTGGTCTTCACTGGACCTAAGCATCAAGATCTTGAAGGGAAGGATCACATGTAGTCCCTACTCTGTAAACCCCATAGACTTCCTAGGACTCTGCTCCCTACATAGTTGTAGTGTGAACTTCCTGAGAATAAAGATATTGCCATTTTTATCCCCCCCTTCAAAAGACATTGGATAAATGTCTGAATAAATAAATGGTTGGTTACTGCTCATGAGACATCATTGGAGTCTAGTTGCAGATGTAGCAGAACTAGATGGAGAGCAGTAGTGAGGAGTGAAGGGAATATGTGTGTGTTCTGTGAATTTGAGTAATGAGAATTGATTTGAGAACTTACTGTATGGGGAACTGCAGACAAGGGACAGAATCTGGCTCTTACCACCAAGAAGCTAACAGTTGGGCAGATACATGACTTACTCGAATGAAATCAAATAGTGAACGCAGCCAGCAGAGAGGCTGGCATAGGCTAAATTCTTGGGGAGGTGAGAGAGTGTCACATGCACCTACTTGACTGTAAGTCTAAGACAAGCCAGAAAAGGAGGGTAGAGCTTTCTCTTTTGGAGTTGTCATCCTTTGTCTCAGCTAGGGAGATAGTTCTGGTCAGTAGAAAGCCACACAGATATGAGTCATGGTCCGGTGCAATTCATGGCTCTGTCGATGGCTCCAGAGCAGCTGGTGCCTGCATCCCTGATGGAGTGAACCAGTGCATCATGGTGGCAGCAGGCGCATTACTCAGGACCACCGTCATGGTACCTCATCCTGATGTCACTTGAGAACATGCGTGGGCTTAGTAAATCTTTGTGGCCATTTTTGGAAGGAATTGAGAACAGCACCGCGAGTCACTCCCAGGGACACCCTCGGATCAATTATAAAGACCTTGAGAAAAAAGATGATCTGGTAGAATCTTCATGAAATGGCAGTCTGCAGCGGGCATTAGACCAAGTTGGCTGTAGAGCTCCCCCTTGGTTATGCCAGTTGCCAGGAAGACATGACTGGAGGGGAGGCAGCTCTGCTCCACAGCCTTTTTGTTCCTCAAGAGGAGAAAGGCAGGCAGCCTCATGGCTGCCTATATCTTGACAATAACACTGAACACATGCTTGGCATACTTTTGCTTGCGTGATCTCATTTAATTTAGTCCTTCGTGCAGCTGAGTGAGGTAGCCATCACTATTTCCATTTTATAGGCAAGGAAACAAAATCAAAATAAAACCACTTGCTCAGGGTCCTCTGGGAGTTAAGTGGCAAAGACAAGTAGAGACAGACCCTGCTGCCCTGGCCGGATTTGCTGTGGCCTCCCTGGTGCCTGGTCTTTCCTCAGCTACTGGTCCACCTGAGTTATTTCTTTGTCTTAGAAAGGCCTCTTGTTCTGTGAACTTCAAGCCACTCTCTTCCCCTCATTCCCTGCTCAAACCTTTTCAGACCACAGACAGATTGGGCAAAGAATTAAACATCTCCCTATGTTTACCCACCTACTTTTCTTTGGCCCAGCCAGTCTTCCCTGGTGAGGATGGGAAGAAAGATGGGCCTTGGGTGGGACAAAGCGCAGAAAAGCCAGACTCACTGGAAAACAAGTTCATCATTCAGACTCGAAACCAGAGTCCAAAAACCACTGCGCCATTTATTCCACCTCAGATTGCCCTTTGGGTAGT